TTGGCTTCTTACTGGGAAGCACAGCCCGAACTTCATGCTGTATGCCTTGGTAACCCTTGTCCGCAAGCACAGCCCATGAAGTGTGTTCACGGTTTGGGTCCGCAAGAAGGGTCTCGTCCTGCTGCTTGGCGAGGCCTGCTTTGTGCACATCGACGTTCTCATCGAAGATGGTCTTGTCCGAGATACTTCCTTTGTAGTGCTCTGTGCAAAAGATGGCAAAGCCATTTGGGACGACCGAGATTTCGACTTTGTGACCGTAGAGCGAGTGCTTCCCACTGTAGTAATGCTTCTTCTCGGCGTACGAGCCAAATGGAGTGTTTGTTTGTTGAAACGTGACGTCGGTGGCGTATCGAGCGAACGGGAAGTTCTTAAATTGATTCCCTGATGCGATCAGGTTCTTCATGGACCACTGCTCGGCAAGCTGAGCGACGTAGGACCGCATGAAGAAGGGGTGAACGGCCTTGATGTACCCAAGGACGCGCTTCTCGAACGTGGGAGGTTTCTGCGAGAAGACAAGGGCCACGACGTCCCAGTTGCCACAGTGCTTCATCGACGCAAGCATCATAAGGAGGAGGTCCCTTGCTGACACCTCGGACTTTCGTCCAGACCCAACGTTCCAGTTCTTGGACACGAAATGGCGCAGGTCAGCCCACAAAAGATCGAACTCAGACGGCGAAAAGTTCGTGAGGGAGAATATGCCTTCGGGACCTTGGGTTGAGAGAAAGGCGTCGTAGATGGGGGAGTTGGAGTCTGCATCCTCATCGGGCTCCTCTTGGCGCACAGTCGTGAATCGAGCGAGTTTGTCGCGGCGCTGTTGCTCGAGGTCCTCAAGCAAGGCCATGCCCCGCGTGAATGCACGTGTGTTTACATGCGATGGTTGTTGGGTGGGCTGGGGTGTTGGCTGTGAAGGGCTCTGCGAGTCTTGCAAGCTGTATCGGCGAGGCATGGAGATAGTTTGGTGCGGGTTATTGGAGAACAAGCAGTGAATTCGGAAGTGATTGAGTGTTTTCCAATTACATGGATGGATTTGAAAACGATGCGCGCCAAACGAATTCACCCAATCAACTGTAGGCAAATACATGTGTGCGCATAGTCGCGGCGCCTGTCGATTACTCGTATTGAAACCAATGATTTGGATTACTCCAAAATATTTGCGATAATCAAGAATATTAATTGTCACATGCAAATCATAGGATCGGTCATCAGGTGGTCTAATGAGAACGATGGGGGTTCGCATCGTGCGCTAACAGTACGACGCCCGCCAGCATCTGAAAGTTCATGGGCGCCATTTGGCAAATTTTGGACTGAGGCCAAAAGGCTTGGTTGCCTCAACCTGTTGCAGAGGTTTTGACAACCGAGAACCGTAGAAACCATTTCTTTCGCGTCAAAGCACAACATGCAACTTCAGTGGTGCAAGGAGACGACAAGTCAAACATGTGAGATTATCAGCAATACGTTGGGAAGATGATTTCATTTTGATCGCCTTCCCTACTATTCCATAGTATATTTCCGAGGCCTGGCGCCAACCATAGACCATGAAAGGGACGTTCGTCATTGCATGGCATGGCTACGTATTCCCTGGCCAAGACGGTGATGGGGCCTTGGGCGTTGCACGACACGCGCTCATGACGAAGTACGTCGTCGGCGTCGACACTCAAGTCCCACGCGTGCTTGATGGCGCTGTGGAGAAGCGGCGAGAACCAAGGCCAAGACACCCCTTCGGCTGGACGACTGTCATCGTGGCATGCGTCGGCACGGCATAGATTGTACGGACGCTCATCGAGGAAGGAGTCCCCATTCGACGACGCCGACGCCGATGGACTCATGGGCTCACGGCGTTGCACTGGTGTGTGTAATACGAACACCCCGAATCGGCAAAAACCCTCTTGGCGTCCATCTCCGATAGTAGGTCCGAAAGTACTCGAGAGCGGCCTAGAGCATGGTCAAGTAGTACCCTGCTTCCCCTACCCATGATGAATGATTCCCGTCAACGTAACCCCAATGCATGTTCTGCATACATACTGTAGTACCAGTGGTGTGTGTGATGTAATGTACTACGTATTTCAACCACGAAGTTAAATAGTTGTTTTCGTGAGTATTTGTCAGCATAATAATGTGCCTAAGGCTAAGTCAACCACGCCATTCGGTGGCAGTCGTCGGGTGCTTTGAGCACAGTCACCACTTCTGCCTTGGGGGATGGGAATTCACGAATGTACTTGAGCTTCTACGTGTTACAATTAGTAGAGGTGGGAGATTTTGAAGGGTTTGAGTTCACAGTGCGTACCGAAATGGATTTCGTGGAGGGAGACGTTGAGGCCATGGACGAAGTAGGGGAATTGGCAAGGAGAGCTCCGATGGCTGTGGCCGGCCGCCGCCGATGGGTCGGGATCTCTGGCACGCCGACCTAAACCATTAAAAATAACTTCAGAGTCAAATATATATATATCAAATATACCGAGTCGCCGTGGGTCACGTATTGCTCGCGAGGCTGGGGACGGGCGTTGGCCGTGTCTGCTCGCAGGGGCGACACCCTCACCCGCACGGCTGGACTCGTCGTTTGTGTCTACCATACAACCCATGAGCATACATCAGACCACAGTCAATACCTACAGTACATACCTTGACTCTGGATGGTGTCGAGGCGTATTTATCATTGTTGGGGGCGTTGAGGCTGGGGCTACTTCTAGTGTTTGCGGTGTCAATAGTCATCGATGGATGGCGGGGGGATGTCAGTTGGGGGCCTGGTCGAAGGTTGGCCATTGAGTTCGAGCCGTCGAAAACGTCCACTTCCAAGTTGACGGTGGTCGGGGGTGGGAGCGACCGAAGTTGTACTTTGTTGGGGCCATCCCATATCCTCCCATTTGAATCTGAGGATGCCCCCACCACCATTCGCAGGTGATTCTACATACAAACATCGTCAGAATATGCTCATGTACCAGTGATTTCTACCTGGAAGCCCTGCCTAGACATGGCGGACATGGTCTCTCGTCGGTTGGGGCCCAGGTACTTGGACACCCCCTGCACGAGCGACACGCCCGTATTAAGCTCGATGGACTGGGCGAACGTTTCTCGCTGCAACTCCATCACGTGGGGCTCATACGCCTTTTCCTGCTTGAACTCGCCCTTGACCGACAGCTTTTCGTAAAACCAGCTTGATTTGACCGTTCTTTTAGGCGTTTTGACTTCTGCGGCGCCGTGCCGTCGACGAGCCCGAGGGGGCTTGTCGTCTGCGGGGGTGTCCTCCTTTGGGCTGGGTTGATGGAGCAGTAGGAGGGTTGTGTCTTGGTCCACGGGTGTGTCGTCGGGAATGGTGCGCACCGTGTCCAGTGTCGTCACCGGGGCGCTGTCTATTGTCATCGTATCTGGATCGTTGTCACCGTCGCGGATGGTGGTGGTGTCACACACGACGGTGGTCTCAGTGACGTCGTACTCCCGCTGGCCCAACGCCCGTCGAAGCACCGACACTTTGCCCCACTTGGCCTTTTTCTGCTTGCTCGACGTGAGTTCGGTCATGCATTTGATCCGCCACGCTTTGGTTTCCTGTCAATTACAAGGTGAATAGATGAGTCATCCATGAGTACGTCCGTCGATCGAATAATCTTACTTTGTCAAAATAATCGACTTTGGCGGGGATTCGAAACACCATGGGCTGCTCTTGCGGTATGAACGTATCGGATGCGGCAGACCCCCTCTATTTAACTAGGCAGTGAGACTCCGATGGACGATACTCTATGGACAAACCCGTCGAGGTTGGGGCGCCGCGGAAGACGCGGTGTTGCGGGGCGGCAAGGACGACTTTTCGGACATGGATCGAAGGCTGATGGCGCGTTGGAAGGGGACGCCGTTGGGGGATTCGTAGAGCCGCTGGGGATGGGCGCTGACTTCTTTCTTGGGCAGCGCCTGCACCGCGTGTCGGTCCACCGAGTCGGCGCGGGGTTCGTCTTCACAACACTCGACACTGACCACGGCGTCGTAGTCGATGTAGCACCCCATGCGAAGCGTCGAGATGATGCTGGACGCCATGGCCTCGATGCCAAAGTGCATCTACGATGCAGTCGATATGAGGAAAGATATGGTTGGGATCGAGTTCACTTGTTTCTCTAGCCGTTCGTATTGGATTTGGAACAGGAAGGTCTCGTCAAGGATCCAGTCGATGGTGTCGAGCACCAACCCTTCAGTGTCTTCCATGGGAGGAACCCGATGGACGGGGGTGGCAGCGATGACGGACGCCAGCACCGCCGCGCCAAGTTGGCCCTTCTTCTCGACCTTTTTTGCACTGGACGGTGGTGGCGCCACGGACGTCGACGGTCGTTCCTTACCCTTCTTCATCCCACAGTCCAATTGCCAAACCCAACGTGAATGGTGGCGGTTTCAAAACGGTTTCATGGTTTCGGACGCTGCCCTTTTCCGCATGCCAATTGTATCATAAAATTGTGACAAAATGGTACTTAAGACTTACGGGACAGCATTGAATATTAATACCAACCTTGGATACTATGGTTAATATAATATAATTGTTGAATTAAAAGCGTGGATGACATGTGGATGAAATTTGGATGACATTGGATGAAATTGGATGAAGTTGTGGATGAAACCTAAAGTAGTGACCAAGCCTTACGTTGGCCCCGAGCGCCCGGGAGGCCGTCTGCGCAAGCGCGGCCG